ACCTGGACTTCTCCTACTCTCGATTTGTCTGTCCACCCCTGCTTGAGTTTCAAGAAGTCATTAGGACTCATGGTTTTAAATCTATTTTTCAACCCTGGCTCTTTTCTACCCACGTTGGCACAGTTGTTCCCTAGCCCTGCAGCAATGGCAGCAGAGCCGTGGCAGCCTGACTGCTCAGGGCCACGCGAGCCCAGAGATGTCTGCAGGCCAGGCGCACTCTTCGCACTGCTGCTCATGCCTCGCCAGCTCACCCTGACCACGTTGGCCGGAAGGGACTAGGGTGACCCTGCTCTTCAGGGCTATGCGATTCACACAGAAAACTCACTCTTAGATGTAAGTGCAGGTACGCAGCATTCCACAGCGCTGGCCGGGAGGCACTACAGGAGGAAGGCTCTGGTGAGCAGAGTGAGACTGAACCATCTCTCTTTCAATCTCAATCTCTCTCTCTCTCTCTCTCTCTCTCTCTCTCTCTCTCTCTCTGTCTCTCTCTGTCACACACACACACACACACACACACACACACACACACCCCACCTTAGTATCCAGGGTGCCCAGGATGACACATTGCCACTTTGAGTTTATAATGAGTAAACAGAGCCCCCAGGAAGTCAGGTAACTTCCCCAAGGCCACACAGTCAGTGGCAGAACAAGGATGTGAGCCCAGAGGACCAGCTACTCATTGCCCACCCTACACCCTCACTGGGAGAACTTATTTGTATTTAAAGATGCTCGGATATGTGAATAATTTCTTTCCAGGTGTAACGTTTTCTCCATGGCTCATCCAGTTTTGGGGAACACAACTGAAGCCTGACTATCCAGCGGAGGCCTGGGCACAGGTGCTCAGGAGAAAGCAGTAGAACAGCCACCTGACACTACAGGGCCCGGGTCTGGCCCCCGCCCTGAGACACAAGCCTGGTGCCACATGCTGCCCCTGTGCGTGCATCTGGTGCAAAGCAGTGGCCTAGTGCTTGTGCTCTGTCGCCCATGTGGAGTCTCAGGGAGCTGCTGCTTCCCCTCAGTGTCTGCCTCCTGATGCTGCTCACCCTCGGAGAGACACCAGCTTGGGGGAGGCAGCGCTCACTGGAATCTTTGAGGACACTGCTCAGTTTTCAAGGCTCTTGGCTCTGCAGTGATCTTTGGCTTTAACCTATGGACACTGGCTTTTCCCTTATAGTCAGGATGCAGCGTGTCCTTCTAGAGTGACATTTAAAACTTACAGAGTGAGCTGGATGAAAGAGCACCTCAGGAACCTGGGTGTCGTAAGGCAACTTATGCTGCAGGCTGGGACCAGGCCCGCCTCCCGCTGCCTCGGCCTGCCCAGCCCTGGCGGCTCACCAAAGGTCGGGCCGGATCAAATTAAAGCAGCAAACCTGGCGGACTCCCCAGTGCCCCAGCCTCCCTGACCAAAGGGCATCGTGAAGCAGGGCCTTGGCTTCTAGGCTTTTCTTTTCTTGCTGCCCAGGGTGGAAAAGCAGCCATGGGCCGGCCGAATTCCAGGCTTATCCAGACTGAAGGATTTCCCCAAATGCTCTGCAAACATATTGTGTACTCAGGCCACTCACCAAGACACTGTTCCCAGGGCACAGGACACCTCCATACAGTCCAGGGAGTCACATGCATGTGAGGAAAGGAGAAAGGACCTCACACGCTACAGCCCCCGCCCCCAGCCCTGCAGGTAGGAAACATCGGCGCCCAGCCTCTGGAGCAGACCTAATTAGGGTGGACGGCTGCCCTCCGTGCTGGGACTGGAAGAGGCCTGGACTGTCTCAGCAGAGAAGCCTCCGGCCCAGAGAACTGTCAGAACTGCCGCACGGATGAGCAGAAAATAGCAGATGATAAATTTTTTAGGACCACCCTCTGCTTGCCAGTTGTAGCAGACTGTGAGATAATGTGTTGGGCTTTTTTGGAACATGCATTATTGATCTGGGTCTGTCTAGTGGTTTATAAAAAGCTCATCAGCCCCCTGACTACCCCTTCCCGCCCCTTACCTCCTGAGGAAGCTCAGCCAGCTTCAAAAGCTGGGTCTGTTGAGGGAGGGAGGGAGGGAGGAGGCCTGGCAGGCACTGATCTGGGCCAGCGAGTGCTCCTGCGGGGAGCTCACGCGCCACCAAGCAGAGGGTCCTGGTCCTGCCACATCACCTCTTGGAATTTATCTTTCCCAAACAGTCACTCGCATGTGCAAAAACAAAGAGAAAAAATATTCCCGGCAACAGGATTTGTAATAGCAAAAAATGGACAAGTATGCTAGCAATCTAGAAAGAACTCAATGTCCATCCCAGGGAACTGGTTAAGCATAGAAGGTAAAGTCTGCGGGCGCTGGGCTCACAGCACTGCATACTAGCAGCGAAGCCTTGTGCAAGTGGCTTCACCTCTCCAGGCCTTGGTTTCTCTGTTCACAAAACCCAAAAACGATTTTCCGTATTTTATTTATTTTTAAAAATTTGTTTATGTTATTTATTTGACACAGGGTCTCACTACACAGTTCAGACTCGGAGTGATCCCCTTATCTCAGCCTCCCCAGTGCTGGGATTACTGGTATGTGCCTGGTTTTGGAGCTGGCCTGGCACGCTCAAGGTTCTGGGGATTGAACTTGGGACCTTGCACTTGCCAGGCAGGTGCTTAGACCGCCAAGCTATCTCCCTGGCCCGATTCTCTGTAATTTAAGTCAGCTGTGGTTTCACGCTTTGTTTTTGGTCTTTTTCTCCATCCTCATCTCGCGGTGTCTTTCCTTCTATTCACTTATTTTGTTGATTTTATTAAGAGTCACAAATGTAAAACTGCACGTGGATGCAGCCACGGGGTGCGGGGGCTCACTTGCTGCCTGCAGGCTCAGGCCCCGAGTTCAGGGGCTGTCCTGACCCTTCTCTTGAGCTTAACCTCCAATCTGAGCATACAGCTGGCATGGCCTCATTCCCCCAGCCCCTTGTGAGGCACCTCCCAGATGAAGGGACATTCGGGCATCTGGAGTTTGCCAGCCCCAAGACAGAACAGCTTGAGGGGCCACACAAGCTGCGACAAGGGGCTCGGAGGGCCAGGGGCTTCCCGCAAGTACTGGCCAGCCACAAAACTCACATTCTCAGACTGTGCCTGCAGACTCCCCGTGGTGAGCGAATGCGCCTCGTTCTGACTGCTGCCGGGAGAGCCGGCATTTGTGTCAAATTGTCAATAAAGGCTCTGGGCTCCGGTTGCTTCCTGGCTCCAAATTCCTTTCATGCTGATAAGCTCCCCGAGAAAAATCTATACTTGTGATCATTAATACAAATCATTGCAAGGAGTGACTAGTTTTATATAAAGAACCCTTTTTTGGATAGCAAAAAAGACAGAATCAGGTTGCCACCAACAATATGCTGTTGTCCTCGGAGAGGGGATGGAGGCAACGGGTCCACCCATCTGATTAATGAGTGGTGGTCTTACCACAACCCCCAGCGTCTTGAAGGTCTCCTCATCCTTCCTGTCTACTCTTGTGTTCTGCTTTGCTTCCTCTGGCTCTCGCCACACTGGCCTTCCTGGTCTTGCCTAAGGACCTTTGTGCATGTTGTTCCCTCTGCCCGGAACGCTTTTCTCCAGACTTTCATACCATGGGGGCAATACTGATGATAAGGGAAATCTAATCCAAAGGAGCAGGATTAGATTTCCCTTAAAACAGCAGCCCCATGGTATGCAGCAGCCACAGCCACAGGGGCTCTGGAGCACCTGCCAGGGGCCACGCGAGATTCAAGGCAGATGTCAACAGCTAGCCAAGAGCATGTGCAATATTTCACAAATAATTTTTATGCTGATTACAAATTGAGATACAGCGGGTTGGATACATTGGCTTATTAAAATTAATTCCACCAGTTTCTTTTTACTCTTAAGAAATGTAGCTACTAGAAAATGCAAAATTACATTTGTCATTTGCATTCATGACTTGAATTACACAGCTGTCCCTTGTTCTCCAGGTGGGACTGGGTTTGGGATGCCACCCCCACCAAAAAAAAAGCCCTGCAGATACCGCAGTCCCCTCTAATCCTACGTAGTATTTGCATAGAACCCTTCAGTCACCCTCCATATATGTCAAATCACGTCTAGATGGCTTGCAGTCTTGGATTCAACGTCAAGGGTAGGCAAATACTGCTACTCTGCCCAGGGAATAATGCCAACATACACCTTCAGTACAAAAGAAATTTTTCCCTATATTTTCAATCCACTATTTGCCGAAACCACATGCAGACATAAATCTGGTAGACACAGCAGTCTGGTGTATTTCTAGAGGACAACAGCAATGTAGGGTTTCAGTGGAGAGCAGGGACCCATGGAATCAGAAAATTCAAGGGGGGAGGCCTGGGATATAGCTCAGTGGCACAAACATCTGTCTGACAAGCGCAAGGTTCTCTGTTTGAGTATCAGTACTAAAAAAAAAAGAAAAGAAAAAGAAAACAGAAAATTCAAGGGCAAGAAGACACAGGATTAACAGCCAGTTTCGACTGGGAGAGACCCCATGGTTGAGTGAGAGAGAAGTGGAGTTTGACCCTGGGAGCAGAAGGGCCAGTTTAGGGCCAGGGAGATAGCTCAGTAGAATAAGTGCTTGCCTGGCAAGCACAAGGGTTTGAGTTCAACCCCTGGTTCTGCCAAAAAAAGAAGGGCCAGTTGATATGACTCCAGAGGGCTCCATCTCATCAGCCCCACTGATGGGGTGTCCTCCTGCGGCTGCTGCTGAGGACATGCTGGGTAGAGAGCCTGAGAGGCCTTGCTGAAGAGGGGAGACATCAGAGGATACTATAGGCAGCAGTCCAGGATGGGGCTGGCCAGGGAAGCCTGGTGAATGTCTCTCCCTTTGAGGTTTTGGAGAAGTTCAGGAATTGTAGAATCGTCCTGAGGGTCAGCTCTGAACCCACACTCATGAGCCAACCCAAGTGGGTGCCGGTTGGAAGTACTCAGAAGGGACCTCTCGCATCCCCACAGCTGCCCTGCCCCACGCTCTACCCTGGAACCCCTAGATGTCCTGGGGTTGGGGTGCTTACCTAGCTCCACGTCTTGGTCATCAGTCAGCACCAGGATGATGTTGGGCCGGATGTTCCTGCGGTCCCTCTGGAAGCGGCCCTTGAGGCGGTGATGGGACAGGAAGGCTGAGCTCCCGCCCAGCAGGGAGAAGACTGCCACAGACAGCAGGCAGAGCAGTAGGCTGGGGGGCGCCATCTTTGTTTCTGGCCGATCCGTCGTTCCCCTTGGGCTGCAGGCTCTGCAGCTGTGTCTTGGGGATCTTATCCTTCTCCGCTTCCCTCCTAACACACCACCTAGGGGAGAAGGACACGAATCAGGTCACAGTGTGTGTCCCTCACGCTGCAGGAGGCCAGTGCAGACAGTGAGTCCTGTTCAGGACCACACCAGGCGGACAAAAGGCTTGTCTATGGTTGCTAAGAATTTGCAGTTGGCACAGGGCAGGGGCAGACTGGCAGCAAAGCCTCTCTAACCCCCCCCCCCATGCTTCCTACTCTCCCCAAGGACAGCCTGGTCGGTGACCAGCCCATCTCTGCCCCAGCCCCATCCAACAGAGCAATCCAACAGCAGAAAAGAAAAAGCAGTGGCTGGTGCTAGCTTGCTCCTGCACGGCCCAGGGCAATGGATGGTCCCTGAGGCATACAGGCCAGAAGGGACACCTGCAGGCTTTGGGCTGTACCACCTGCCGATTCCTATCCCAGACCAGTTTCTCCTGGGCTTGGTCTGCCCACTAACCACTCAGGAAGAAGCCTCAGTTTCCCCATGAATCAAAGAGGGGGACATGGCCATTACGAACTCAGTCCACACGAAGGTGTATCAAAGCCCTGCAGCAAAAGACCCCAAAGCTGGACTCAACATGTTTCACCAACTTTAGTTGCAGAAGACACTAAATGACAAGAGAAAATGGAGGGCACTCAGCAAGGGCGCCAGGTCCTGCAAGGGGCTGTGCTGCCTGTGTCCTCTCTCTGGGGACAGCAGCAACAGCTGCTGAGGCTATCCCATGGCCCTGCCCCACTTTCTACTCTTCTGGGGGGCAGCTAGGGAGACCTCCCTCCAATGAGGGTCAGGTCGCTGAATAGGAAGACAGCTACTCCCTCTCCAGTGTGCAGCGAGCTGCTGCCCACCTCCCGCACCTGCCCCTCTTGCCCAAGGCCCAGGGTCATAATGGTTCCTCTCTGCTGCTGCCCCTTCCCTTGTCTCCTGGAACACCTGGTCTGCCTCACTTAGGGTCCTGACCCAGGCCTGGATGCAGTGTGAGGCTGCTCAGGATAGCCTGGTCCCCTCTGTCATCTCTTCCTCCTGAACAGCAGCTCCCCACACCAGGGAAGGTGACAGGCCATTTTTGCAGACAGCTGAGGTGAGAGCCACAAGACAGAATAGCAGGTCACAGCCAGCAGATACCCCCCAGGGATGTGTCCAGTGGGCATGGGAGGGCACACACGGCCCCCTTCCCAGCTCCCTGCTTGCTACCACCTGCACAGCTGCTGCCCGGGGGCCACAGGTGGAGCTGGGTAACAGTGAGGACTCTGGAATGCCTCCCAGAGTGATTTCAAGTGAGGCACTTAACCTCAGTTTCCTCAGCTGCAAGCTGGGTGTGAAAAATTTACGGAGTCTGCGCAGGACGGATGTGGAGCCAGAGCACGGGCCCTGCGGCACAGAGCTGTGGTTGTGCTCCTGCGAGGTCTCCGTCAGGCCCACGTCAATCCCTGGCAGACACTGCCACCTCCGATCTCCAGCTGGGAAGCCAGGGCTCGAGCACCGTCCTCCAGGCACCTGGAGAAGTCCTGTGCAGCTCCTCACCTTCCAGCGGGATGCCCAGCTTCTGCCCCTCCAGCTTTGCGTGCCTTTTGCACCCTTTGATGACTAGGTGCCCATCGCACTTCTTTTTTATTTTTTCCTTTTACATAGTCTTACTTGAAAACAAAGCTACAAATGCAGTTTGGAAGTACAGAACACTGTACACACTGAGCTTAAATGGAGATCAGGCATCCCTGGGTGGCGGGGGCCCCTCCCTGCTCCACACTGGAAGCCAGCATCCCCGCTCCACTCCGTGCTCTCTCGTTAGCACAAATTAACACGTGTGGAAAGGAGTCGGCACATTAGCGCCATCGCAAGGGGAGGCGCTGAGGGCTGACAGGAGAAACCCCGAGCCCACTCCTTGGTGAGGGTGACACCCCAAGGAGGGGCTGCCCCCAGCAGGCTCCTGTGTCTTGCACTCAAAGCTGCAAATGCGCCGACCGCGCCTTCACGCTCCTCAGCTGCACAGCCCCGGAGAGAGAACACCGCAAGGGGTTTCCCAGGGCTGCCCTCCCCAGGCCAGTTCCCTCCCACTGGAACTGAGAACAAGCGCTTGCTGAGAGCTCTCGGTGCCCCAGCCACTGCCCTGAGCACTTCACAGGTGTCCACTTGTGAGGCCTAGTCCAGTTAGCACCATTTTCCCACAAGACCACGTGGCAGAGAAGGGTTCACCCTCATTGGCCTGCTCCACGGATGCCATGGAGGCCCAGATCTGGGAGCAAACTGTCTTAGTTACTCTCCTCTCCTTGCTGACACAAAATACCTGACACTCAAAGCGATGGAGGGGGGAGGGAGGCTTATTTGACTCACAGTTTGTAGATGGTTCAGACCAAAGCAGAGCAGGGAGACAGGACAGGCATCCTAGAGGAGAAACAGCTCATGGCAGGCAGAAGGTGGCAAAGCAAGCGAGAGACCAACTTTTCCATCCCTTCTGTTGTATCCCAGCTACTGAGATTAGGGCAGGGCCAAGAAGTCACCTATCATTAATCCCTGTACCCTTAATCCTAGCATTGCACCATGAATCAGCCACACACTCTGAAAAAGCCCCACTTAGGAGGCATGCAGCCTCGGGGAGCGCCTAGACAAACGCCAGAACAGAACCCAGCCCTTGGTTTCCTCTTTTGCCAAATAAGGCAGCAGGTGGCCAGGTGTTCCCTGAGGGCCTTTCTGGCTCTGGGGCTGCAGTGTGTGGGTACGAGGGGGAGGGTGTCCTGGGAGCCGTGGGCCACAGCGCTATCAGCTGGGCTTCTAGGTTCTGCTTCTGGCTCCCTCTCTCTTGGTCTCTCTCTTGGTCTCCCTCCTCCGGCGGGTCTAACCTGCCAACAGGACACCCTTCCTTCCTTCCTGCGGATGGAGTCAGAGCTCCGCAAGCCAGGCACAGGGTAACAGGAGCTAATTATTTCATCAGATCAAGTCATCAGTGGGTCGATTTTTGATGAATTCCCCTGGCTCAGACTCATCCTGGCCTCATGCCAGCCTCTCTCCGGATGCTGAAGGAATCAATTAAAAATGACACAAGAGATTCTGCATCCCCCCACTTCCTTCTTGGTAAAACATTCCAAGTGGCTGCAGTGGCAGTCTGTAATGAATCGCATAGTACTGCTGATTAACACCTGATCCGCCTTACAGACACTGCCTGTCCTGCCGGCTCTTTGAAGGTCTGTCCGGCACCTCATCTTTGTCCGATGCTTTCTCCCAGGACTCAAGCCAGCAGGACATCTCTGGACACACCTGATGACCCAAGTGCTTGAGGACAATGCCCCTGGCTTCTGATCTACAGAGGGTCTTGGGGGAATCATCGAGCTCCAGTCCTAGCCACCACAGCTGTGGGGAAGCGGTTGGGAACTCACCCACGCCTGCCCGGAAAGACCCGGATGGGCTGCTGACCCTGAGGATCCCCAAATCTGACAAAAGGCACAGAGAGAAGTTTGTATCAGGCACTGAGGGTGTGGAAGAGGAAGTGGGCTGGGCACAACACGGCTCGGGTCAGACAGGAGCTCCTGATAAGAGGAGGAACCACAGGGTGGGTAGAGATGCCTGCCAGCACCCCACAACCGACCCAGGCACCCAGCGTCCCAGCGTGCTTGCCCACTTAGCTCCTTCATCTACTTACAGGTATTATTACTAAGGGCCTCGACAATCCCGTCTGCAGGGGCAACAGCCCCCTTCTCTGTTCCAACAACGGAGACCGTCTTCCTCCACTAAAAGCCTTCACTACCCTGCAAACCCTCCAAAGGGCTACTAAGACCCCAGCGCTCTACCCCTCACCTCCCTGACCTTACTTTCCTCTCGCTCTCTCTCACCTAGCTCCAGCCATGCAGCCTCCGCATGGCCCTTGAACATGCCAGAGGGCCCAACCCCAGGACCTTTGCACTTGTGATTTCCTCTGCCTGGAGCCCTCATCCAGATGCAGTAGCTTCAGGGCCCTGGCCTCACCTCCTGCTGATCCACCTTTGCACGTTGAAACTAAAGTCTCTACCTGCTTTGGTAGCATTTACCACCTCTGACAACTGGCCATTTACTTATTTCTATGTCAAGTTTCTTCAAGAGAATGTACCTTCCCTAAGGGCACAGGTATTTTTCAGCTTTGTTCATTTGTGTATCCCAAACATTTAAAACAGCAGCTGGAACATAGCAGGTACTCAAAATATTTGTAGATGCGTCAAAGAATTTTTTCCTCCCTGCTTCTGGTAAGGGCCCCTCACTGTGCTGAGAGGCCATTGGTTTTTCCCCCTTGCCTAGCTGGACTGTAGGCTGGACCACATGACCCAGATGGAGCCAATCAGCACATCCCATCGTTCTACCTCCCGTGATTGGCCCAGACACAGACACGTGACCCGTATCTGGCCAATAAGAGGGCATCATACACCGTCAAGGTTACTGTAGACGCTAGGAATGGATGAAATCTTGTGCAGGTGGCAGCAGTCAACTGGGATACCTAAGAGAGGGTTTTGGTGACAGGAGGCTGAGCCTTGAAGTCAGTCAGGGTTAGGAGGGTTGAACGAGAGGCTGGGCACTTCCAAGGCACCTTCCCTGGCAGACTGCTTGGCGCTAACCACCATACCTCTGTCCGGTTTTCAGCAAACACTCCTGCCATAGCCCATCCAGGCTTTGGCATCACTCGTTTTCTTATACTCCGCTCATGTCATTGCTGGAGGGCACCATATGCTCTCTGCTGAGCCCCAGGCCGAAAAGACATGGAAGCAGCATGGGCGAGGCCACGCTGGCATTCTGACTCACTCTCTATGCTTCCTTGGAAACCAGGGAATGATAGAAAGGCCTGAGGTGAGGTGTGCTAAACAAACAGGAAATGAAAGGGGTGGGGGAACTGCTTGCCTGCGGGCAGCCAAGGAAGGCTACCAGGAATGCATCTACGGAACTAGGGATGAGAAACCTCATAGCAGCCAAGTGCTGAGAACCCACAGGATACAGAGAAATTGGGGGTCAGGGTGTTCCAGGCAGGGAAAGAACCTGAGCCAACGGCAGGCAGAGGAGATGG